AGTATCACAGTGACAGAAGCTCCAGAAAGAGGAGAGAGAGAAAACGAAGGAGAAAAACGTATCAAGGACATGACACACACACCCCAAAGCTGATGTACATGAGTTTCCACATAAAAGGGCTCCCCAAGTAAACAGCACATAGAACAAACAAGAAGATCCGTATCAAGGCTCATCGTCATAGAAATCTCAGAGGCTCAAGAGAGGGAGAAGGTCCTAAAAGTTATCAGAAGGAAAAAAATAACTGCAAAATCCATATCCAGTCACCTCACAAAACAAGGAGTGAATGTGTAGGCACAATTAAGCTAATACTATTTTTAAATGAGCATATTATATGCTGATGGCATCATTTTACCAAATATTAACACTTCATTGTCTAACTGGAATTAGCCTAAAAACTTTTAAAGCTGCTTCAAGATTTTTCCATTTCCATAGTCATCACGGTAAGATAATCAATGCAGCTGTATAATAATATTAAGGGTACTGCCCCAGTAAAACAGTAAAATTATCCAGCAAATACACTAGAATCCGCACCCTACTAATTAGAAAACAAAAAAACCTAGATATCACACAGTGAGCAGGACTGACTATTCCGAAATCATTATTTTACAGAGGTGACCAACAATGACCAAGAGGACCTGGTACTTTACTAGCAGTGGGCATCACGAGGGTCGGCAGCTTTGAGGCAGTCAGCACTGCTGTGCACAAATGCAGCAAAGCCTGGGAAGTCGGTCAGGCACGCAGTATGACTTACTGAATGCATCGATCCATGAATGATGGAAAAATGCTCTGCCGGATTTTTTCTTGGAACCCAGAACAGCCGGGGAAGGACGAAGCGAGGCCTCTGGAGTCAGACATGGAATTAAATGCTAACTCCACCATTACTAATTGTGTGGCCATAAGCAAATTAACTTCTGAGCCCTGGCTTCCTCATACATTCGGCAGAGATAATAAAAATCTCTTCCTAAGACCATTCTGAAGAATAAATGAGATTGTGAGTGCGAGGCACTCGATACAGCTCATTTCATAAATGGCAGCTACTACCGCTGGTACTGTTATGCTACTGCTATTACCACTGCTCCTTCGTGGGGAGGTTAGATGTAAACCACCCATTCTAAAGAATACAAAGAATGGAGGAGAACAGGTGGGACAAAAAATTTAAAAAAAGGAATACAAAGAATGGAAATAAACACATGGGTTGATAAACAAGCTAATATAAACATATAAATATTCACAGAGGCTATATTTGCCTTCTTAACCATGCCCAGATCACACACGAACACAAGTATAAATAAGAATGATAAAATACATAATTCAAACCCAAAATCATAAAATTTGGATTTTTGAGGTAGTTAAAGTGAAGGCTAAAATGATCTTTTTTTTAAACACCACAAGCCACCTCTGTGTTTTGGTTTGAGTCTCTCTAATGAAACAGCAATTATCGAGAGCCACTCAAAATAATGCCTGAATGAATGCCTCCCCATTCATTACAGGAAGATTTGTCCTAAAAGTTGATTGCGTTTATTAAAAGCATTACTCTCGACACTATTACCATAATATAAGAAAAGATATATCGCTGATCTTTGCCCCCAGTTCCTGGCACAGAACTTCAAAACCACGTGGAATTCCCTGACCAACACGTCGTTGTTTCGCTGATGAGGTGATGCATCATGGGGCCCCTACACAGCTTCAGAATGGGGGCCTGTCTCCAGGAAAACCCAAAGGAGGCCAGACGAGAGCGTCAGAATGTTCAGCCCCACTGCCCCAACCTCTGGGGATGGGAGAGGGACTGGAGATTGAGTTCAGTCGCATGGCTGATTTAATCAATCGTGCCTATGAAGTGAAACCAATAGAAACTTTGAACAGGGAGGTTCAGACAGCGTCCTGGTTGGTGAGCATTCTGACGCGCGGGGGAAGTGCTGCGCCCGACTCCACGGGGACAAAAGCTTCGGCACGTGGGGCCCTCCCGAACCTTGCGCGATGCACCTGTTTGTCTTGCTGTTCACTTGTATTCTTTGTAACAAACAGTGGTTACAAGCATAGCACTTTCCTACGTTCTGAGTCACTCTGGCAAGTTATCAGACCTAAAAGAGGGTCATGGGACGCCCAAACTTCTGGTCAAGCAAGTTCGTCAGAAGTGTAAGTGGGACCGGGTATGACGGCTCATGCCTGTAATCCTAGCGCTTTGGGAGGCCGAGGCAGGAAGACAGCTTGGGACCAGCCTGAGCAATTCATTTCTACAAAAAATTAAAAAATAAGAGAGACCCC